TAGGGACCACCAGACGTCTGGCGTTTTGTGAGCGCAACGCTCGACTTGGTTGATACGACACTAACGTGTCTTGGAGATAAGAAGGAGCCAAGCCATTTATGGCTTTATATGTTAAGAGAAGGATATTAAACTTTATTCTGTACTCCACAGGAAGCCAGTGGAGTGATTTTAACACCGGAGTTATGTGCTCCCTCCTTTTGGTACCTGTTAGAGCTGGAAGCTCTTCAAAGAGGTTTTAGGGCATGCTGCCAGTAAAGCATTACAGTAGTCGAGCCTTGAGGTGACAAACGTTTTTCCGCGTCACTTTTAGGAAGGAAATTCCTAATTTTAGCGATGTTCCGTAAGTGGAAGTACGCCGTTTTAGTTGTTTGGCTTATATAAGCCTTGAAGGAGAGTTCTTGGTCAAAAATGACTCCAAGATTCCTCACAGTGTTACTGGGTATAATACTGACATTATCAGAGTGATTATCTGGTTAGTGAGGGAGTCACGCAGGCGCTTCGGACCGAGTAGGATCACTTCTGTCTTCTCCGGGTTGAGAAGTAGGAAGTTAAGAGTCATCCACATTTTAAGGTCCTTTATGCAGCACTAAGCTTTTCTAGCTGATCTCTCTGATTTGGCTTCATCGACAGATAAAGCTGTGTGTCATCTGCATAGCAGTGGAAATTAATTCCATGCTTTTTAATGTTTCCTAACGGCAGCATGTAGAGAGTGAAAAGAATCGGTCCGAGTACCGAACCCTGCGGCACACCGAATTCCACTCCAGAATAAGGCGACGAGTTCTGATTTACGTTGATGAAGTGATACCGATCTGATAAATAGGATTTAAACCAGCCAAGGGCTGTTCCTCTAAGACCTATATCACATTCTAGCCTCTGCAGTAGAATGCTGTGGTCTATTGTGTCAAATGCAGCATTAAGGTCCAGTAGGACCAGCACTGACACTTGTCCATTATCAGCAGCTAGTAGTAAGTCATTTGTGACTTTGACTAGTGCCGTTTCAGTCTATGATGAGCTCTGAATCCAGATTGAAAGACTTCAAACATATCATTTTCCTGCAGGTGGCAGCGGAGCTGCTCAGCTATAAGTTTTTCCAGGATTTTAGATATGAAAGTGAGGTTTGAGATCGGTCTGTAGTTTGTAAGTATTTCTGGGTCCAGGTTTGTTTTCTTCAGAAGGGGTTTGATTACCGCGGTTTTAAAAGCTTGTGGGACATAGCCACATTGTATGGATGCGTTTATTATATTTACGATAGGCTCAATTATCAAAGGAAGTATGTCTTTGAAGAGCCATGTCGGGACTGCGTCTAACATGCAAGTTGAGGCTTTTGAGGATGTGACCACAGAGATCACCTCTGCTTGGCTCACAGCCATGAATTTATCGAGGCCCACTGAAGAGTCTAAGTGGGAAGTCACGTATGCCGCTTCAACCTTGTCCACTACCAACAGCAGGAGCAACCTCCTCCAGCTTGTCACGGATGGATGTAATTTTATTATTAAAGAAGTGGAGAAAGTCGACACTGCTCAGTGAGCTTGGAATTTTAGGCTCGATTGCGCTATGGCAGTTTGTGAGTTTAGCGACGGTGCCAAACAAAAATCTACTGTTGTTTTTATTCGCTTCTATTAAAGTTGAATAGTATTGAGTTCGAGCCCCGCGAAGGGCCTTCTTGTAGTTTCGGAGACCTGCTTTCCACTCCCTGTGGACAGGCTCCGAGTGGGAGTGGCGATATAGCCTCTCCAATTTTCTGACGTCCTGTTTTAAAGTGTGGAGTTGAACACTGTACCAGGGCGACGATGATCTAATCCTAATGGTTTTCTGTTTTAAAGGAGCTGCTGCATTTAATGCAGATTTTAAAGACTCCATAGTGTTGCCCACCATTTGGTCAATGACTGAGGGACTGCAGCTGCTGTGAACAGGTTCACCTGCAGCAGTATTCAACATAGGCTGTATTAGTTCTTTGAACCTTGTGATAGATTTATCATTTAAGGTTCTTTTCATTATGGTTTTATCTTGCGGGACAGGAAAGTCCTCCAAAGCGAGATCAAACGTGATCAAGAAATGGTCAGACAGCAACGAGCTTTGACGCTGGATGTCAACATTGGAGACATCACAGCCGTAGGTCAGGACAAGGTCCAAGGTGTGGTTATGAATGTGAGTAGGTTCCTCGACATTCTGAGTAAAACCAACACCATCTAGTACGGCGCTGAAAGCTTTGTTTAAGCTGTCAGTGCTGTCGTCCACATGTATATTGAAGTCTCCAGCTATAACTATGTTTTCCCATTCCAAAACTAGGTTTGAAATGAAGTCAGAGAATTCTGTTAGGAACTCGCTGTAAGGACCAGGAGGTCGGTATAAAACTATAAATAGTACTGCTTTTTGTTTTCTCCACCCAGGACAGGTGATTGAAAGTGTTAAGTTTTCAAACGAGTGAAAAGCGTTGTTGGTTTTGGGACTAAGAACCAAGTTGGTGTGTGATATAATCGCAACACCACCGCCGCGACCTGTAGTTCTGGCTTTCTGGTAGTTAACATGCGTCGGAGGAGTGCACTCATTCAATCTAACGTAGTCGTCCTGTTGGAGCCAAGTCTCCGAGAGCGCAAACAGATCCAAGCCCTTGTCTATAATAAGTTCGTTTATGAGAAGCGATTTAGACGAGATTGATCTGACGTTCATTAAACCACATTTAACAACCCTACCGCTAGAACTATTTCTGTCTGTCTGAACTTTTATTAAGTTACTGTGTCTGACACCTAGGTCAGATTTCCTCGCATATAGTGCTTTAGACTTCAAGCGGGGAACACACACAGTTTCAATCTGACTAGGTTCTGAGGCTAGTAACTGAGCACACACAGGCACACACACACATGCACACACAGTTTCAATCTGACTAGCTTCTGAGGCTAGTAACTGAACAGATGGGGGCTCAGAGGTTGTGGCAGAGCAGCTCTGCACCCGGGCCTCAGTTCTGCATCGTCATTTGAGCCGAGCAGAACAGTTTAGAGCCAGGGCCAAATTCTTAGCCAAAAGGGATGTACCCGCCAACGTTGGGTGGATATCATCCGAGCGGATGAGACCGGGCTTTCCCCAAAAGGCACTCCAATTGTCAACATGAACAACACCACTTCGAGGGCACCAGCCAGACAGCCAGCGGTTGAAAGCCGAGTGTCTGCTGAATGCTTCTGCACTGCTAGTGCTAGGTAGGGGCCCAGAGAAGATGACAGTGTCGGCCATTGTGCTAGCCAGCTTGCACACGGCGGCGACTTGCAGCTTCAACACCTCGGACTGTTTCCGCCGAACGTCATTACCACCCGCGTGAATAACAATTCGACGGAAACGCTGCTTGTGGGTCATCATGAGCCTCAGATTCCCTTCAATATCACCAAGCCTGGCCCCAGGGAAGCACCGAACAGTGGCTCCTGGGATCTTAACACCTCTAACAATAGAGGAGCCAATTACCAGCGCATCAGCGACTCCATCGGCTCTCTCAGCAGCTCTCTCAGCGGCTCTCTCAGTGGGGCCTTCTTCCCCGCCCGGCCGCGCGGGGGCGCAGCCGGACAGAGCGTCCCAGCGATTGTAAATGCTAACAGGAGGAGGCCCAATGGGGAAACTACCAACAACACGTCGCCCTCTCCGAACAGTCACAAAGCCATCACTATCCTGGTCTTGTCCCAGCTGCGGAGGACGGGCTGGGAGGCTAGGCTCGCTAGTTCTCCTCTGCCTTTCCCTAAAGCTGCGCTCCGCTGTCCCTGAGGATACGGCCTGGCTGTAGCTAATGCTAGCGCTAGCTCGAGACTCCAGTGCTCGGAGACGCAGCTCTAACTCACTGACCCTGGATTCCAGAGCTACGACTACACTACACTTCACACATCTATCACTACCCTCAGAGAAGGATCCAGGGTTTAGACTCGCCATATGGCAACTCGAGCAGTAAAGGATTGAGGGAGAGACAGCAGCCGCCATAGTAGCGAGTTAGCGGCTAGGCTAGGCTAAGCTAGGCTAGGCTAAGCTAGTACGGATCCGGGCCCGCACAACAGACTCCGAGACCAGACAAACAACCGCTACCTAAACCTCAGCTGCAGTACAGCTGACTCGGAGTGCTTACACAGTTAGCTTGGTGTACAATACGTGGATTTGTAATGTGTTTGTTAGTGCAAACAGAGAGCAGAGTGATAGCAGTCAAGAAACACGCTCACCGGATACAGGAAGTATCCGGTGAGCGTGTATTTTATTTTTGTCTTTTAATGTTGTTTTATGTCTGTATTTGTCTGTGCACACTGGAGACTTTTGCTAATGTATTCCAATGTGGGTTTTTTACTGCAAATGGCAAATAAACTGAATCTGATAACCATAACCGTGCAACAAAGTTTGGGATTTTGAATTTAATTATGGGCAAAACCTTTTGTGTACATTTAATTCAAAATAGTAACCAGAGTTTTTCCCAATATTATGTACAGTACAGACCTAAAATTTTGACACACTTTCTCATTCATCGAGTTTCCTTTCTTTTCATGACTATTGACTGTAGATCCACACCCAGGCTGTGTAAGGGCTGTTTGACCAATAAGGAGAGTGATGGGTGCTGGGCCAGATGACCCGGCCTCCACAGTCACCGGACCTGAACCCAATCCAGATGGTTTTGGGGTGAGCTGGACCACAGAGTGAAGGTGAAAGCCTCTCTGGGATCTCCTTCAAGACTGTTGGAAAACCATTTCAGGTCACTACCTTTTGAAGCTCATCAAGAGAATGCCAAGAGTGTGAGAAGCAGTAATCAGAGCAAAATGTGCTACTTTGAAGAACCAAGAATATAATACATATTTTCAGTTGTTTCATACTTTTTTTTAAAGTACATACATAATTTCACATGAGTTAATTCATAGTTTTGATGCCTTCAGTGTGAATCTACAATTTCCATTATCATGAAAATAAAAAAACTCTTTGAATGAGAAGGTGTGTCCAAACTTTTGGTCTGTACTGTATGTTCTTACTCCTTCCAACACTGCAGAATGATATCTCCTTGTGGTTCTTGCTTTTTGACCTCCAGCAGCAGCAGCAGCAGCAGCAGCAACAGCAACCGTCTGAGGTGTGATGAGCAGCTCTCATGCTCCATCTGCCTGGAGGTGTTCACTGAGCCCGTCACCACCCCCTGTGGACACACCTTCTGTCACAGGTGCATCACAGATTACTGGGACAGCAGTCCCCAGACGCGCTGTCCTCTGTGTAAGAAGAGGTTCAGACAGAGACCAGCTCTGCTCTGCAATACTAGCTTCAGGGATGTCGTGGAGCAGCTGAGGAGCATGTCCCTGCTCAGCCCCACAGAGGAGCAGCAGGCCGGCCCAGGGGAGGTCCCCTGTGACATCTGCCTGGAGCCCAAGCACAAAGCCCTCCAGACCTGTGTGGTGGGTATATCAGGCATGCTTGGCAAAATGGTAACTTACGTGAGCTTTAAAAGAATGGAAACAATTTACTGCATAATAAAATCAGTGCCTTCTATTACGTTGTGAGGACCATATGAATTTTATTTATTTTTAAATCTCAATATTGATTTAAAAATGAAAAAGTTTCCATATTGGGAATTCTCACAGTGATTTGTCAAAAGTCAGATTCCAACTCATATCAAAGCTTGATACTTACTTGAGCTAGGACTAAACATATGTAAAGCACATTCTAAGCAATATAATCTTCTGTAATAAATGTTTAAAAAAAAAAAGGAAAATTATACTTACATTGTTTGACATAAGTCCACGATGTGTGTAGCAAATTTCAAGACTCAAGAGATTCAAACCACTTAATTGGTCACCTCCAGCCAATTAATTTAGATGACAAAAATCCAGTATGCACCCATTGAGGATGAAGATGAATGAAGACAAAGCACATAAGACATTACAGACATACATACAGTATAAAATCATACTTAAGGAAATGTTACAAATGTAATTGTGAAGGAGATTTTTATTAGAGGAGCTCTGACCCACACTGGCCAATTTGTGTATACAAAAAGCTCATGACCATACTGTAGGTGAAGCTGGGAATGTTGACTCAGCAGTAAATCCGAAGCTTTGCCTTTGGACTCAGCTCCTTCTACACCACAATAACCTCATCACTGTGAACAAAACATGAAATTCTTGATATGCTCCCTAATTTGAATCATAGAAGTATTTTTTTTGGTTCTCTAGGAGTGTATGGCCTCCTTTTGTCCAGTGCACTTGGAGCCTCACCAGCGAGTGGCCAGTCTGAAGAAGCACCAGCTGACTGACCCACAGCCTCACTTGGACCGCAGTCTCTGCTCTGCCCACGGCAAGATGCTGTCACTCTTCTGCAATGCTGACCAATCCTGCATCTGTGTCACATGCACCCAAGACAACCATGCCTCTCATCCATACACCCCACTGGAGCAGGCATTCCTTGAGGAAAAGCAATCCATGCAGCGTGCAATAGCCCAATTTACTGCCATGGAAAAGAGCCAATCCAGAGACATCCAAAAAACCAAATTGCACATCAGGCAAAGTCAAATAAAGAAAGAAATAGACTTGAGTGAAGTCGAGAAAGTCTACACTGCACTGATGGATGTAATAAGCAAAGACAAAGAAAGGCTGGTCCAGGTAATCGAACAAAAGTACAACGATGCTTCAAGAAAACCCCAAGAAAGAGTTTTTCAGCTGCAGAAGAAAATCGTTGAAATCCAGCTGAGACGCGCTAAGATGGAGGAGGTTGTTCAAATTGACAACCATCTGTGGTTTCTTCAGAGTAAACCGAAACTGCCTGTTCTTCCGCACAATGATGATCCACTAGAACAGGTGCGTATGTGATGTTTCTGCCAATTATTGCATTCAATGGAGCAAGATATAAGAGATAGATAGATAGATACTTCATTGATCCCCCGAAGGAGAAATTCAGGTGTCCAGTAGTAGCAAAAAGAAAAAAGAAAATTGATCATTCTAAAAAAAGATAACAATATTAATAGTCAGCCACAGCCCTTCAGGTCACAGCAGCAGAGGTGGAGTAGCCTCTGGGTGGAGCAGGACGGGTCACAGCAGCAGAGGTGGAGTAGCCTCTGGTTAGAGCAGGACGGGTCACAGTAGCAGAGGTGGAGTAGCCTCTGGGTGGAGCAGGACGGGTCACAGCAGCAGAGGTGGAGTACAGCCTCTGGGTAGCGCAGGACAGGTCAAAAGATGAAGTAGCCGCTTGGTTTGGACCATTTTCTCTGCTCTAGCCCAAAGTAAAATGCTAAATGCTTCATTAGCATTTTGCAAAAAGTCAGCATTCCTCCAGTGGATTTTCACCTGATCCACTTGGTTTGGACCCTGAATCCTCTCTGCTCCGGTCTGGACCAGTGCAAAACTTTGCACACTGTACTGAAGCAACATCTCAGGCAGAAAAAGCAAGAAAAATATAAATTGTAAAGCACAAAACAACAACTGTTGATCAGAGCTACTAAGGACTTGCAGCCGTTACCCAGCGCATCTTTCACACACAAAAAAAAAATAGGCTCCTGCCTATTGAGTTTTCATTCTTGGGAGTGTATTATAAGGTATAAGGCATGATACAGCAGGCATTAGTATAACAACAGCCACTTGATCAAACATCTGAAAACTCATCACCACACAGGGTATAACACCTTTGCTAGCACCGGCCCACAAAAACAACCAACTCTACAAGATAGCATTTGTTTGAGTGGAATATGTTGACTGTTACAACAATTGCTAACATGTTTAATTGTTCAAGCATTTTCTTATTGCTGAAATGGGAAATAAAACATTTAGAATTTCAGCAGTATTAGTTTTATGAATTCCCAGGGATTCCATAATGCACTACTCGTATTGGTATTTGGAATTGGTGAGTACAATAATTAAGGTACCCGTATCATTTTGTGGTATTGGTGCATAACTGTGTTTGGTGATGCTGGAAGATGGTTACACAGATTTTGGATACTGGTTTGTTGTCGGTAGGGGGCTTGGATATGGAACACGACTCTAAAGCGTAACAGAACAAGAGAAGAGAAAAACTTGGTAGACCATGTAAGGCCGTGGAAACATTGCTAGTACGTACCTCTTAGCTGGCCTGGGAATGCCTTGCTGTTTCCCCATTTGAGCTGGGGTAAGTGTGCATGTATTGGAAAATGTGGACTCCTCTGCTCAGACTGCTGTTTCCACAATCCGGAAAGGGATAAAGTGCAATCTGAAATGCAATCATAGACAGTATATAGATGGACAATTCAAACCAGCTCATGAATGAAGTTTTGCTCCAACTTGCTCTGGCTCCTATTGACTTACATGGAAAAGTAAACTCCTAGCTCTGTAACCATTTGTGTCACCCTCTCCATTTTGGGCTTTAGAAAATTGTGGTTTAACACTATTCTGGTATTGATTTATGATAGTGTCTTAGTAAATGCAGATACGGGTCTTGAAGATTGAACAATCGGCAGCTTTCAGTCTCTGTGAAAACTCCAACTTCCCTGCTACCCCATTGTCACAAATGCCATATAAGGAACTTGACTCCAGTTAGCTTAAGTTGAAATCAGCTTCTGTCACATTCGGCAAACACTATGGTGACGCCAGCACTCGGTCAGTTCATTCCTAATATACAGTCTGTGATTGTCTCAAAAATAGCAGTTTGTTGTTTAGCCAAAATTGTTCATCATCCATCTATCTCCATCTGTATCACTCAGCTACAAAGTGTTTAACAAATCCTTCTGTCCTTCCTTCTTCCCTTTCATACAGTACGACCCCAACGACGAAAACGGTTACGGTGGGATGGTCAAATTTGCAGTGGAACGAATGAAGGCTATTGTGGGCGAAGAGATGGACAAACTTCTTCTGAGATTCAAATATCCAAACTACGATACGGACGTGTCACTTCAAAACGCGCTGCAAGTCTGGACACCACCTAAAGACCGGTTTATGATGATCCAGCAAAATGCAATTGATCTAACGCTTGACATGTACTCAGCTCATTCTTTCCTGCACATCACAGACAAAACTGTTATGTACAACCCATTCATTCCCAGCCAACCTCGGCCGTGGTTTTTCCAAAGACACTTTCAAAATTTCCCCTTTGTTGTCAGCACATGTGGGTTTTCTTCAGGACGATTTTATTTTGAAGTTACAGTATCTTGCGCACAAGAGTGGTCTGTAGGGGTGGTCAGAGAAAACTTTAACAGACATAAGATTTACGAATGGTTGCCCAGCCCGAGTGATGGCGCCTGGATGTTGTGCACGCTAAATAAAGGTGGTGGACTGAGATATTTTCAGTCTGTGGACAACTGGCCTCAAAAAGTGGGCGTGTTTGTAGATTACGAGAAAGCGGAAGTGTCGTTTTATGACGTGAACGCCAGGGTTCTCATGACGTCGTTCCGAGAGTGCGTGTTCAATGAGCCAGTGTCCCTCCTGAAGTCTGCCCTTTACGGTTTGGGGGGTGCCACTGCAGACAATACAACCAAGCTCTACCCAGTGTTTGGTGTCTTCAAATGCTTTAACTCACTTGAAATCACTCCAGTAGACACCACTTTTTAACAAGGACTCAGAAAATAACATTATGCAAAACTTTTTCCCTAATGTTTACATCATTTTCACTTCTCATTTACAGACATTTAGGTTAAAGGGATGTAGTCATTGTTTATCTCTTTCATTGAATTCACTATTGCTCAGACAATCCCCTTTGTCACACCCCCCACATGTAACTGTTCTTTAATTTTTGTTGCGCTTATGATTTACCGATTTAAAAGTTGTTTCTAGAGTGATTCATATTGGTGTAATTCCTGCAAGAGAAACCATTGCTCTGACCATGAGCTCACTGTTCTTTCCAGTCTCTCTCTTTGATTAATATACTTTTTCCAAACATGTTTCAGTTTGGTGTTGGAGATCATTAGAATATAGATACATTTCCACAGACAACAATTTCAGTTATCTATGGAGGTCCCAATGCCAAATTAGAAAAGATATACTGAAAACGTTGCATGTAAGTACACAAATGGGCAAAAGATGGCACCATTTTGCAACATTTACACTGATCAAGGACTTACTGTGGACGTTACTGATTTTAGTGATCTCTGACAAATCAAAGTCAATTCGGAATTTGGCGGTACATGTAGACAATCATGCTGAATCATAAAATATTCTTGGAAAGAACCTGATCTTGTTGCTTTTTTTTTTCTACTCATGCATGTTTAACTAATTTGGAGGACAGCTTTAGCCTGTGGACTATATTTACCTCTGCTGCAAACGGACCAGGCTGGAAGTGGGGCATGGTAAAAAGTGTGTCAGTGTGTCGTAGTGGCTTTCTCTCTAGTCTGGATTCATAATAGATCAAAGTTTTCCCTGTTATGGAATGACATATGCCTCTATACAGTGTTGTACAGTAGAAACCTGTCAGTCTGCTTGGACTAACTATTGGCAAGAGAGAGAGGATGGGTTGACAGGACATTGGACAGCAGTAATTCCTTCTGCTAAAACTATTAATTTTCTACTCAATCCAAAAACTGCTTTAAGAACATAAAGCTGGAAAGTCAAAGTTATATTATAATACAAACAAATCAGACATGCCGTCTTTATTTGTGCTATTCAAATAACTCAGAACTAAGCTCGGTGCGCTCAGTTCACCCCCTGTGGCCGCACGGCAACAGCAATCAGCCAATCCTCACTTGACAGCAGTTAAGCATTTCCCTGCATCAAGCCATGATATCAAGCAACTTTCATTCATGCAGCAATCCTCCTCCTCCCCTCCACAGCCTTGTCGGTCAGACCAGCTAATCTTGCAAACATTGTCATCAGAGTCGTATATATGTGAGAATTCATGTAGTGTCAGATGAATTTCCAACAAATATATTAAATTCTATTAAATTCTATTAAACCCGCTGTCTTTTCTGTTCGAGTCTCTCCAGATTGAAACACATTACGGAGCCATTGTCGCCATCTGTATGGATTGGGAGGACCATCAACTCAAAAGGAAAAGCAATCGTGGCCTAGGTCAATGGTAATACAGAAGGATTCGTGAGCAGCTCCCTCATAATTTAGGCTTGAGATAAACAATAAAACTAATACAACTAAATATTTTGAAGTTTGTCATGTTTTGGGAATAAATACCCAATGAAGGCATGCAACTGGAATAGAACTCCCAAAGCATTTTATATCTAATTTGAAAGATCCTTGTATGTGCGTATGTGTTTATTTGTGCTTTTCATCAAAAACATAAACCTGTAAATCACTTACTGTAACTTATTTTCCTTTTGTCCTAAATTTGGTTCTGAATGTAAACACTGCTGTGAGTGATAATTACTGTTTGATAGATAGTTTACGACATACTTTGTGAATGTTGACCTAGAGCTTAACATCTCTCACATGTTACTGATACAGATAGAATTGTGTTATGTTATTACTAAATAGTCATTCATTCATTTTCAATCCCTTTATTAGTCAATTTCAGGCCACCCAATGCTCATAGCACCAGTCCCTCACTGATCCTCTGCAGGTGGTGAGTCCACAAGAAGATGAAGGAAGATGGCTGCTCCGTCCGTGGTGAAACAGCCTTGGTCTTTCAGCAGGGGCTTCAGGCAACGTGGGGTTAAGTGTCTTGCCCAAGGACACAACGACTGTAGATATTTGTGGGAGCAGTTGGAGTAGGTTCCATGGTGGGCTCGAACCCATGACCTCCACGCCCAAAGGCCAATGCTCATTACTAAATGTTATAAATATATGAAATATGGCTTTTCTTCGATATACAATGTCACATATTTTCATTAAAAAAAAATACATTTTATACAATTAAAAAAGGATAGTAATTCATATCTGAATGAGCATTCACCTTGCTATTTCCAAAGGTGTATCACTTAAGTATTTTGGACAAGGTCTCTTACTGGATTACTGCTTTTAGCTGTGTTACAAACAAATATCAGGCGAGGATGGGCTAAATTATGTGGGAATTTTGAGGTTTTAAAGATAAAAATTAACACGTAGCATGCATTATATGTTATTTCAAGTATTGAAATAAAGCCCATTTGCTTCTGGCTTATGGAAAGAACGCGCGCATGAGAGAGAGGGGGCGGGGTAGATCTGCCGGGAGCGCGCTTGGCCGTCATGACGTCACATGCACGTCTGGGTAGCGCGGGGAAGCACCAGCGTAGAGAGATCTGTCCACTGTACCCCTGAAGACGACCCAGAGACCGGATACGGACTAGAGTAGAGGACCAGAGGGACCAGAGGACGCGGGCACGGGTAGGTACGTACACCGGGAGCGACTGTCGGTGTGTTGTCGTGCCGCGGTTAGACGTGTGCGTGTGGAATAGCAGTCAGTGGCCTTTGCCTGGATAAACCCTGGGTGCAAACATGACAGGCTCCAGCCGCAGTCAGGCTCAAGTTGGGGATTGTCTGCGCACATGTATGTTTGATGGCGAGTACGTGTACGTGTGTATGTGTGTGCGCGCGTGCGTGTGCGTGTGTGTGTGTTTTGTTGACTGACTGACAAAGTGCATACGTCCCTGACCGCTACTAGCATGTGTGTCTGTGTGTACGGACTGACCAGGTCTGTTCTTCCATCTCCTGTTACTGTCAGAACACTGCCATTGACATCACGTTGACTGGACTGTATTGAGTGTATAGAGTTTGTTTTGAAATCCTCATCCAAATCATTGCATATACAGGTAATGTGAGTAATCACATGTGCATATAATCTGTAGATTACTAATATGGTACTACCATGAAATGTAAGGTCTATATTAAAGCTAGGGTACCTAATTCTTTGTATCTTATTTTTCAATATACATTTAGTTTGTTCCAACAGAAAGAGTATTGTCTTACTAGAAAACATGCTAACTTTTACAGAGAAGGAAAATCCCAGTGAGGCATTATGTGATGCTTTGGACTGAGAGCTGATTGGTTAAGTGTGGGTGTCCTCTCTGGTTTCAACCATACTTGCATCTGAAAACTGGTAATACAAGTGTATTTAAATACTTTGTTACATATATGATGATTGATATAGTTTCATCCATCAGTAATTGACTTTGAACAACAAGTCTGTATCGTACTTATTTATTGTGACAAGCCTAATAACTTCAGATGTGTATCATTTTTGCTCTGTACTAAGTACAGGGCTATATTAAGGCTGGAGTACCTGCGTTTGTTTTCTTGTTCATATTACATTATTTTGTACCTACAAAAATAATCTTGTAGCAACAAAATCTGATCTCTCTTCATCATAGAAAATGGATTTCTATGATGAGTATTTTTATGTCTGAAAATATGAAGGTTATTTTGTGTTTTTATTATCAACACTTTTTTTTGCTTTTGAATGATATAAACTATAACAAAAAAGTATTCAGTGTAAATAAATTCAATGTTTTAAAAGTTCAGTGTCCAAAAATTCAATGCTTTAAAATTCAGTGTCAAAATATTCCATGTTCTAAAATTCAGTGTCCAAAAATTCAATGTTGAAAAAAATGCGTAGCATTTTTTTTTGCTGGTTGAAATGTCAAGCTTGATTTCCGGGTAAATCAAGACAGAGGCAATCGATCAGCCAATCCTCCATAGATGTAGCCAGGGCCAGAACACGACTTTGGCTTTATCCGAATGTCCGCACTATACCATATTCACTCAGTCACTACATAGTGTGGGACTATATAGTGAGTGAGTGACTGAGTGAGTGGACTCATTCTGATGGCAATTCGGACGCTGCACACCATTTTCAGGCCGTGCTGTTGTACATGAGCGTCCCTCAGTAGCATGGATCATGGAGCGGAGAGAGGAGCGGCCATGATGAGGTAAAGGTAAAAGTTGAATTTTAGTTTTAATTAGGACATAACATTTAGTTGTAATAACATTGGAGCCCCCTTATGCTAACAGTTAATTGTAGAAGTAATTATGAAAACCAAAAAAAGGCGGCTTTTGTATCATACTTTCGCTGTTAATTACAATTGTTTTAAGAGTAATCATTAGTCTTAAAAATGTGATATTTCATGTAAATAATGCATGTGTTTAGTACAATTGATGGATTTGCTATGGCCCTAGTTTGTGCATCACTTTGTAGTAGTCATTTGCATTAAGTAAAAATGTGATAATGTGCATTTACTGATGACAGGGGGACATCTGTGAACATGAAGCTGGACACAGAAGATATGTGGACATGATCTTACGGACCAGATTTAAGGTCATGAGTACTTACTTTTTGAGCACAAGCTCCTTGCCTCTTGAAATCCAACAGACCTGATCATGTCAGAGTTAATGGCTTAAATGTATTTAAGATAGAAGTACTTAAATAAAAGCTATGAAACATGTTTCTCACTGATTGTATGATTGGATGAAACAAACGCATACATCACTTTTTATTGCACACAAAGAACTAAATCATAATAATTTTATTTTATTCCAGGTTGTGATGAGTACACCATAGAAAAGACAGTCAGAGGCAGACGTCCAGGCACCTGCTGCTGTTACTACTGCTGCTGCTGCTGTATATGTCTTCAGAAAATGAGAGATGTGTTCTAACTATCCATGACTTGAATAATAAACAAAAGAAAATATTG